ATTAAAAAAACAGAAATAACTTTTTGGCTAGGGAATTTCAAAAACATATGAACAATAGCGAGAGAAAGAAGAGAAGGAAACACAAAACAAGGTTAGGAAAACAGATGTGGATCTTTTTCAAGTGATTCTTGAATTGATCGTCCAAATAATATATCTTCTACAGTATCAAGATTTAATGATGATCGTCGTTCATTAAATACAAGACTCGTGGCACTAAACTGCCTCTCGACTCCAGCAGACGTTGCTGGAATTGAATATAAATGTCGAGCAAGCTTTGCCAAATATGCACATATTCGAGAGTCTATTGTACAAAAAACTCAGTAGTGGATAGAATTCCTTTACATGGTGTATTTGTTTCTTCTCCTAGTCATCCGAATTGACCAGTGATCAAACTCTTTTTCTCAACCGAATTCACTAGATAATAATAACATACTGTTACTAGGAAACAACCAAATTTAACTAAAAATATGAAGAAAACTTTTAAAATTTCTCAGGCCGGGCCGGACCGTAAAAAACGCTGATCCGACCGAGCTAAAAACTTTTCTCGGACGGCCCGTCCGGCCCGAGAAAAAAAAGCGAATGGCTCGGCCCGACCTGGTCCGAGGCGGGTCGATCCCAGGCCGAGTCATCGAGTCGGGTGGATCAACAGGAGCTCTGGTTGATATGTGGTAGGTCGATTGGTATGTGGTAATTGGTCTGACGGTGAGAGTGAGATGATATGTACTAGGAATATTCGTGCTACATTTTCATGCTTGACTAAATATTAAAAGAATAAAACAAGGAAATGTTCAGGTTGGTAGATTTTAAGATCGAGATTTTTAATACAATGCTGAAGAATGTATTAATTCTAGATGACTTAATTTTGAACAATAAATTTATAAATTATGAGAGAACAACAACAGAAACAACAGCGCCGTCAAATGGCATTAGATCGTGGTGGATGATTTATTGATATTGTAGCAAAAAACGTGAGAAAAAATTGTTAAAATGAAATTGTTGTCCGAATACAAAGGAAAGTATGATGACGCTTCAACGGAAGCGATTCGTCGACAAAAAACCCAAAAACCTCTGAATATATATTTATCAAACAATTAAAAAGATAAATAATAACAACAAATTAATGATTTGTTTGCCAAAACAAAGTTATTCACATTCCTTTTTTCTTTTCGGATGGTGATGAAATCTTCACTTCTGAAATACAAAAGACAATCGTAAAATGAGCAGTACATAATTAATTAAGTGCAGATAAGGATCAAACAACATGTTTTCTCATCCGTCTCTCTCTTCAATTATTTTCTCATCTTCTATTTGAAAATATTGTTCTAATTACATACCAAGATCAACGTCATAATCAAATAACGCCACTTGATCGAATTCTTCTCGTTTATATTTTTTTCTACACTGCTATGATGTATGAGAACGATTAACAGTTTTTAATAAATCAATAATTGTTAAAAACTTGATTCTAATTCATCTTGTTTATATGGTACACGTGCAAAAAATTTTCACACAACACGTTTATTATTGAATATAAATTTTGTAAATTTCAATGCCATACACAAGGAAATAGCTGCGATAAACAAGGACGGCCACGATGATAGATCATAATTACATAAAATAACCTCTGTTATATATTTTGAATTGATATGGCTAAAAAGGCTTTGCTCTTAAGTACTTCAAAAACATTTTAGAAAAACGTCGGTAAGTTCTTCGACAAATAAGAACAAAATTTTCACCAAAGTTTGTTCTTTAAAGAAGGCAAGTATTGTTCAGTGTTTGAAAACAGTGGTGATCAAACAACCTGAAGAACAAAACTTTCGTTGAACCATAGACTGACTACAAAGTCCGAATACAAAAATAAAAGGCAGGTACGACTGTTACCTTTGAATAATTTGTGGGCCACTGTTCATGGAACTCTTTGTTTTGACAATGAATATAAATTGTCGAGCCACTTTGAAGCTGATGAGCTATTGGAATAAGTCTTTCTCCTAGTTGGCCAGATGTGACTAAAAATGTTGTAGTATCACTTGTTTGTTCAATGTACTGTTGACATACTTCAACATTATCAAATAATTCTGTATAATCAACAATTTTTCTTAAACCTTCAAGTGTGATTGTAGTTTCGCTTTCCCCACTGTTAATATTTCTGATCAAATCCGAATCTGAGTAGTTGTTGAAGTCTTCTATCAAATGTAGTATGCGTCAAAATTTCAGAGACAGAGTTTTGAAGAGAATTTTCTAGAAAACCGCTGCAGCGGATCTCTAAGTCCTAGAGCCTTTTGCTAAAAATATTTTCAATATCGCCATCTAAAAGAGCATAAAATTCTGAACCAAATAAAGCGTCGCTCAGCTATCTGGTTGCATAGTTACAGGCATCAGGAAAACCCAAAAGAATGTGCTTCTGCTTGTATTTTTAGCGTTTTCTTCGTAAATTATACTATTTTGTTTTTTCTGATGCCTGTAACTATGCAACCAGAGCGCCGCTTTATTTG